CGCCGCGCGCTCCCGCCACCATCCCCCCCTACCCCCTCCTCACCCCCTCCAACCTCCCCCGGTTCGAATCCCGCCTAGCCCGGAATGTAAATTTATTTATATATTTTTTTTTTCTACCGTTTTTTTTTTTATTATTCTGTTTTTAACCTTTTTAGGGTTGTTTCAGCTCGCCGCCTCCTCCCTAGGGGCGCGCACCCGCGTTCCGTGTGCGCGCACGCGTAGGCGAGCGCTCCGCCCTCGCCCTCCCCTCCTTCTTCCCTTTTTCCCACCTCCTCCTCCCCCTTTTCCCGACTATTTAAAGTCGCGACATCGCGGGCGGCGGCTCAGTGGAAGAAGAAGGCGGCGGCGGAGTGTGGGAATAATTTTATTTTATTTTTTTTTCCCCTTTCCACGCGAATTTTTTTAGCCATGAATCCCAACTGTGCGCGCTGCGGGAAGATCGTGTATCCCACGGAGAAGGTGAACTGCTTGGATAAGGTGAGCTCCGGAGGGTCGCACGTGGATTTGGGATTTATTTTATTTTTTTCCCTAATGGATCGGATGTTTTTCCCCTTTAACCGCTGTTCCCGGGTTTTTTTTTCCTCGGGATCGCGTTATCCTGGGGGGTCTCGGCCACATTCCAGCCCCCCGCGCGTGGCGCTTCCTTGTGGGCACCGCTCTCCCCCTCCGCCCTATTCCCGGGAATATTTCCACGCTTCCCACTCCAAACCTCGCTTTTCCCAGGGTGGGGATTTCCACGCTGAACCCCATTGTCCCGGGGGGGGATTCCAGGGAATCTAGCTCCCTTTTCCCAGGGATCTCTCCACACTTCCCACTCCCACCCCCCCTTTTCCCGGGGTGATTTCCACGCTGCTTTTCCCCTCCTGTGTCCCGAGGGATCCCCGGGGATGGAGCTCTTTACCCGGGGGGGCTCCGACAGCGTCCCCAGCCCTTCCTCCCATCGCAAATATTCCGATTTATTTGGATATCTCCGATCCAAAGGCAGCACAGCCGTGTGGAGGCCCAAGGAAAGCAACAGTTAACGCTTCCCTGAATCCGGCAGCCTCATCTGGTTTCCATTATCGAGCTTTTTCCCCTTTTTTTTTTTCCCCTCTTATTTTTTTTTTTTTTCCAAAATCTTCCATCCCCATTGATACTTCTCTATTCCAAAATCCCATCCCTCCACTCCGGGGCTGCCTCCCCTTAAGCCGGAGTATTTTTTTTTTTTTTTAAGGGGGGGGAGGGAGAATTTTCCCCTCCAAACCCAAATTTCTGGTGGAAGCTGGAGGTGGGGAAGGCGATGGTGGCTCTCCATTCCCGGTGCTTTTTCCCATGGGATATTCCTTTGACTCTGGAGCCTCTCTCCTCCCCCTCCTCTCCCAGGCTTCTGGGACAACCAGTTTAGGGACTAAAAAAAGTAACTGGGAAGAAGAACGCTCCGCTCTCCAGCGGCATTCCTGAGCTCCGGCAGACCCCGGTGCTCGCATTTTTAAGGGATGATGTTTCTTCCTGAGGCCGGCAAGGGCTCGGAGCTGAACTCTCACCCCCAAATCCTGGGATTTGGGGGCTCCGTGCCCCGGGAAGTGCTGGGATTTGGATTGGGGACAATAGGAAGGGGGAAAGGGTTGGGGGATAACCGGGAGGTGAAGGGGGGGTTTGGGGGATGCGGATAAAAGGAAGGGAAGGGGGGTTTGGGGGATGTTCCCAAGGGAAAGGGGGGTTGGGGATGCTGGATATTTGGGAAGGAAGCGGGGTTTGGGGAAGGTTTTGGAAGGATTTGGAAGATGCTGGGGTTGAGCTGGCTGGAAGGGAAGGGGGTGTCGGGCTTGTGGCCGGGAGGGGAGCGGGGGTCCCTGGCGGCTCCGGGAGCTGCTGTGCTCCAGCTGGGGGAAGCAGGAGCCCGCAGTCACCATCTTGTCCTCCTCGGGCTCCTCAGCCACTTCCTCTTCCTAAAAACCGAGCGCTGCCGGCTCCTGCTGAGGCTCAACCCCACCCCGAGCGCCTCCGGCTCCCTTTTCCCGGAGAGCTGCCCCAGTTCCCGTAAAACCCTGGGCAGGGCCTTGGAGAGCCTCTGTCCCTGCTTTTCCCGGAGTGTGTCTGTCCTTGCTTTTCCCGGCCTTTGGAATGTATCTGCTCCTGCTTTTCCTGGCCTTTGGAGAGCCTCTGTCCCTGCTTTTCCAGCCCTTGGAATGTGTCTGTCCCTGCTTTTCCTGGAGTGCGTCTGTCCTTGCTTTTCCTGGCCTTTGGAATGTGTCTGCTCCTGCTTTTCCTGGTCTTTGGAGAGCCTCTCTCCCTGCTTTTCCGGGAGTGTGTCTGTCCCTGCTTTTCCTGGAGTGCGTCTGTCCTTGCTTTTCCCGGCCTTTGGAATGTGTCTGCTCCTGCTTTTCCTGGTCTTTGGAGAGCCTCTCTCCCTGCTTTTCCGGGAGTGTGTCTGTCCCTGCTTTTCCTGGCCCTTGGAGAGCTTCCTTTCCAGCCCTTGGAGTGTGTCTGTCCCTGCCTTTCCCAGCCCTTTCCCTGCCTTTCCCAGCCCTTTCCCTGCTTTTCCCTGTCCCTGCTTTTCCCAGCCCTGTCCCTGCTTTTCCCTGTCCCTGCTGTTCCCAGCCCTGTCCCTGCTTTTCCCAGCCCTGTCCCTGCTTTTCCCAGCCCTGTCCCTGCTGTTCCCAGCCCTGTCCCTGCTGTTCCCAGCCCTGTCCCTGCTGTTCCCTGTCCCTGCTGTTCCCTGTCCCTGCCTTTCCCAGCCCCGTTCTCCCGGGCAGAGTCCGAAGGGCAGCCGGGCGGTGTTGGCAGAAGCCGGGAGGGGACGGCCACACCTTGGGGTGTCTGGGAGCGACGGCTGCGCCCTGGGAACCGGGAAAAGTCCGCTTCCCTTCGCGATTTGTGGAAAACTCCTCTTGTGCCGTGCCCGGGGTGGCTTTGGGGACCCGTCCCTGCCCCCAGCAGCTCCGGTTTCCGCTGGGGAAGTGACACCCGGAACCCGCGGGGTTCTGAGAGCCCCGAGCCTCGCCAGCCCTCGGCTCCTCCGCTCCAGGGGATCCCTGGATCCGCTGCTCTTCCCAAATCCTGGAGCGAAGGCTTTGCCTGGTGGCAGCCAGAGCAGCTGGGGATCCCTGCAAGTGTCCCAGGTTGGAGAGGGATAATCTGGGACAGTGGGACGTGTCCCTGCCTGTGGCAGGATGAGTTTTAAGGTCCCTTCATCCCAAACCATTCCATGATCATAAATCCAAGGCATCCTTTATTACCCCAGCACGGATTATCTCTGACCCACTCACCTGGAAACTTTCAGAGCTGTTTTCCTTTCAATCCATCATTAAATCCTTTCATTCCACTGAGGTTATGGCGCTCAGAAGAGCTTCCAAAATGTGTGTTCACACTTAGAATTCCTGTCCGGAATGTGGGAGCAGCCGGGATCACCTCCAGGCTCGGAATTTGGAATCACAAGGTCTTGTTGTTCCTCTAAAGCCTCATTTGGAGCCTGTCCTCTTTCTCCACGTGAGGAGAACGTTCCTGGGAGCCGAAATAATTCCCGGTCCCCCGTGTCCAGCGCTGCTCCGGCCTCCCTGCGGCGCTGCCGCGGGTTCCGTGCGTCCCGCGTTAATTCCGTCCCCATCCGTGGGACAAAGGGAGGCTCGGCCACGGGAAAAACGCTCCGTGGGCATCCCAGCTCCCGTGGAGAGCCTCGGGAAGAGCTGGGAATGTCGCTGTGGAGCGATTCCTGCCGGGAGCTGGGCCGGGAATGCGCTGGGAATGCTCCGGGACGGGAGCAGGGCCTGCCCGGGAGCGTCGTGATGCTGTGGATCACAGGGATCTGCTGATCCTGGGGTTGGGGCTCTTTCCCTCCTGGATCACAGGGATCTGCTGATCCTGGGGTTGGGGCTCTTTCCCTCTGGATCACGGGGATCTGCTGATCCTGGGGTTGGGGCTCTTTCCCTCTGGATCACGGGGATCTGCTGATCCTGGGGTTGGGGCTCTTTCCCT